TTAAAAACTTAGAAAAGAAATAAATAAAATCTGGTGCATTGGCCATGCAAAGATCTATGCTTTTGGGAGATGGTCAACATGTTTTTCTATAACCTTTAAAATCCAAAATAAAATTTTTGACCTCAATTAATTTGGTTTCTAGAAGGAAATTTACAAGAGCTTTTGAAAAATTATAACTTTAAATTTTTGATGAATAGGGAATCTGTTGCCAATTTTAAAGAACCACAAATTTATTACGTTTTTCAGATTCTACATTAAGAAAAACAAAAAAAATTTATAATTTTTTTTTCTGTGATGTTAATTGTGGAAATGATGTACGGATGCAGCGATATGCTTCGCTGATAACGATATTTGACATTAATATTGCCGTTATGGTCGATAAACGATATTTACCGATTTTATACATTATATTTCTCTACCGTTTTGACACCATTGGGGAAAAAAAACAACCAAAAACAAACAGCAATAAGATGGAAATAAATATGGGTTGTTAATACTGGGAAATTTTTATTTTGTGGGTCAATACTGATATGCTAAAATAATGACTAATATTGGCTGATGCCGATGTTAGTACCGATATATCATTCATATATCTGAAATTATGTAAAAAAAAAAAAAAAAAAAAAAAACTTTCAATAATAATAGAAGAAAATAGATCCAAAAATTTATTTTAGAATCATTCAGTTGATGCAATTCAATGCAATAATTTAATAAAAGCCTGAAAAACTGCTAAACCTGCATTTGTTATTACATCTATATCTATAAATGTTCGTTGGATCCTTTTCATTTTTTAGAAAGAGTTATTAAGAGATCTTGTGAAAGGTTCAAAGAGCTGCAGGCTGCACACCCTTGATCCAAAATAATCTGCATTAACTAAATCGGATTTGGTCTCTGGATGTGCAACAAAACTGGAGAAAAAAAAAAAAGAGAGAGAGAGATTCATACCCAAATCTGCTCAGTTGCTCCAGGTCGGGTGGTGGGGGTCCATAGGTTTCAACCTGCAGGGGTTTGTATTGGTACAGAACCTCCTGTATTCTGGGCAAAGGCTGGAGAGAAACAGTTTGACCCTGAAAGGAAAAAAAGATAAAATTCAGCAGAAGTTTCTGATAATTACACTGGAAAGTGAGAATATTTAGTTCTTTCCAATGGAACAATGCTTCGGTGGTTTAGCAGTAATTAGCTGAGTGTTAGCATCTGAGCTACATTAACAGGAGCAACATGATCCAGTTTCCTGAAGCTGGATCAATCTGAATGCCTCCACCATTAGGGAAATGCTCTGCTCTTCTCATAAATGCTATCTGGATAAGCAAAACCAGCAACCCGGAGACCAAACTGCTGTGATTTGGCTAGGACTGCAACTAACAATTATGTGAGTCACTGGTTATTTTGACGATTAGTTGATTAATCTGATTTTTTTTTAAAACAATAGTTTGATTAATCTGAGTTATGTAATATTAACATTTAAAATTTACAGATTAATTGCATGCATTGACAGTTCTATAAATTAATTTACGATTATTTTGGCAACAGATTCATCATAATTAATCCGATTATTCGTTTCAACTCTAGATTTGAGTGAGGCTGCAATTACTCCCAATACTGTTGATCAGATATTAATTGGGAGGAATCTGTTCGATTTGGGGATGTGACCTTCCACACAGGCCTGTCACAATAATCAGTAAATCAATTAATCACATAATAAATTAAAACTAACTCAGATATTTCCATTGGCATGATTTATAGTTAATCAATTTTTTTCTCTCTTTCTACCAAAAAATGGATGACAAAAGTCTTCAGTTTGGTGTTTGAGCGTCAACTAGCCATTTTTTGAAGCACAATTTTGTTTACAGAGACTTCATAATTAACCTTATTTGTTGTTTTGTTTATGTTGGATATTTAAAATGTCTTCTAGCTTCAGTGTTAAATGTTCATTAGAATTTAAAGTTTAGTGATCTTTGAGAACGTGTTCTTGTATTATTACCGTAATATTACTTAAAAATCGTCTAAAAACAACAATATAATCGATTATCGCATTAACTTCTGGAACAATTTATCGTGGCGGGCCTACTTCCACCCAGTGTCATAGCGCTGGGGTCGCTCAGCTTTACTGGAAACAAACCTGGGATTAAAAGAGATGCTGTTTAAACACGCAGAAACTACTTCAGAGTTCAGCAAAGGAACCGAGAGACAAAGAGGAGATAAAAAGATAAGAGAGAGAGAGCAAAGAAAAAAAGAAGTGGGGGGAGAATAAACAACAGAACACAGAGGGGAGCTGATGAAAACCAAACTAAACAAGTAACATGTGCCCCGCGGCCGCAGACTGCCCTGCCCTCCCGTCACACATGCTTTGGCTTATGAAAACACACACACAGTCGCGTTTTCATATCTTGTGGGGACTTCACATTGACTTCACTTCGTTTTCTACCCCAAACCCTATCCCTAACCCTAAACATGACATACCTATTCCTAACCAAAACTCAATTCACACCTAAAGTTCTAAACCAAACCCCTAACCCAAAAACAACATTTCCCCTTATGGGGACCAAGAAAATGTCCCCACAAGCAGCAGTGGTCCCGACAACCTCACAATGTAGGGTCCCCACAAGGATACAAAAACCTGGTTCACACACACACACGGTAAAATAAAGCTAGCAAAACTGAGCTGGAGTTTCAAAGCGATGCACAATGATGAGGAAGAAGTAAAGTTAAGAACAGAACAACAAATAAGAGCAGAACAATGAGCCGCATTGTCCTGGTGAGCACAATACACTGACAGCATCTATTTAATTTACACCTGAATACACAAATTCATCTACTATCTGGTATTTTTAGCTATTAATTATGTGTTCTGAATAATTTAAAAGAGCTTGTGTTCGGAGTTGATAGCTGCCATTGGTGTATTATGTAAAAGTTTATCCGTTTCCCCAAAGTGGTGTCCATCATCATCCTCGCTTAAAAGAAATGTGTCTTTGCTAATGGGACGTTTTACAGGTAATTCATTCACACACCTTTTTTTTTTTCTCGGAATGACTTTCAGCTATTTTAGCAGGACAAGTCTGCGCCTGTAGCTGTGAGCGGCAGCTTTTAGTTTGTGCAGGTGAGGTGGGAAGCGGGGGGTGGGGGGGGCTCAGGTAGTGACAGTGGCAACACGTTAGCAGAAAATGCGTGGGTTTTTTCCACTGAAGGAGTTTTTTTTTACCCGCATACCACAGCTTCATTATTCCGTTTCAGTTTGATTCTGTCACATAAATCATAAAATTTGGTTAAAGGTGGTTAAGCAAAACATATAGAGATGGATATCTTCATTCAGAAAACTAAAAAAAATGAATTTATTCAGCACAGAGTGATGCATTTAAGCATTTATTTCTGTTTATTTTGATCATCAGAGATTACAGTTAATGAAAACCTGAAATTTATTTTTTTTAGAAAACTTGAATATTACATAAGACCAATAAAAATAATTTTTTTCAATGCAGAGGTACTATGTTATGATGACATCAAAAACCTACAAAACCTTTGGAATGGAAAGTTGAGTGGAAGGAAAAACGTGGAAGCAAAACATCTTCGAATTCATGCAAAAGAAACCCTGCTACAGAGTTACTATATAGGTTAGATGATGATCTCACTTTTCAGAAGGCCATAATTTCTACAATAATTTTTTTTTTTCCTTTCACTGTGAGCCATTATCTTCAAAACTACCAGAAAAAAAAACAAAACATTTGAAATACATCATGAATGTCTGTATGATATTGAGTTTCTGGATTACAGCAATTAATTTCCTTTTAAATTATATTCAAATATAATGCAATGTAAATTAATTCATAATTTAATGACTAATAATAGAACAGAAATGGGCAGAGTACCCCAAAAATTTACTTTTAAGTAAAAGTAGCACTACTTAAGTAAAAGTAAAAAGTAGCCATTCAAGAAATTACTCAAGAGTAAAAAGTATTTGGTAAAAAGTCTGCTCAAGTACTGAGTACTGATCAAATGATCAACCATTTAGTATTTAAAAAAATACATATTCAGATGGACCAAATATAAAGTAGAAATTTTGGTATTTTAAGGATGAAAATGACAATAATTCAAATAAGTAAAAAATAAAATCAGGCAAAATATTTGTTTCTTTCAATAAAAAACTTTAAAAAAAAAAAAACTTTAACAAAAACTGTAGGTGTGTGTCTATGTCTGGTAAATTTTTGGTTAAAACATGTTTGTTTTTCATTCAGTGGACAGAAAATCCAGAAATTTTACTCAAGTAAAAGAAGAAATACTTCATAATAAAATTACTCAAGTAAAAAGTACAACATAGTAAAAATACTCCCAAAAGTATTTTTCAAAAATTCTCAAGTGTAATTAAGTAAAAGTAACTGGTTACTACCCAACTCTGTAATAGTTGGTAGCTGTAGGTATAATTCAGCTTAGGAATAATTAAGTATCTGGTGTTGACATGTTGGTATGAGGGGCCCCCGAATTAAAATCCGCTTGGGGCCCCAATAAAGGTTTGTGCCGGCCCTGTTCAGTAACTCAGATTTTCTAGTGACAAGGCCGAGATTTTCCTGATGCATTCCTCTCCTAGGTGACCTTGAAAACTGGCGCACGCGGGTACCGGGACATGACTCGTGTCTTTAAACATGGTGACACATAAAACAGACACAATTATTTGCGGTGAGGCTTTGATTGAAGACCCCAACCCTCTCATACAGCCCAAAAACCCAGACATGAGCTCTCAGAGGACTCCGCTCTAAATCATAAACTCATCACCTCCTATTAAAAGCCAGCATGTAAGTTGTTTTCAAAATGCTTTTCAGCAGGAAGGAGGGACAGACCCCCCAGCTCAATGGGACGGGGGGGTTTCAGATCAACAGGACTCACAGCCAAACACAAACATCTGCTTTTATCGTCACGGGGGCCCGTGCGACTACATATACAGCTTTGTGTGCATTGTAAGTTTGTGTATGTAACTGGTTTTTACACTCTTATGACACCCGCGTGGCACCGAAGAAGTGGGCCTCTGGGGGCCATCAATCCTAATAAAACCACAGGGAAGGATGATTTGAAGAAATCACTGCCGAGCCGGTGGGAGCAATTCTGCAGCCTCAGCATTTGTACCGCTAACTTAAAAATAAAGTTCCTGTGCTGAGATGATGCCTGAAATGGGCTATTAAAAGGTGAAATGAAGACGTTTCTTCCTGTGGTCTTTGGTAAAATTCACCCACTTGCAGTTTTTTTTTTCTGTTTTTTTATATTGCTAATGTTTAAGAGCATCAGTTTTTATATTGGATAAAAATAACCAAAGTAAATATACAAGGCAGCTTTTAAATTGTAATTAATTTACTAATTATCAAAACCAAGCAGGGCACAGAGTATGTGAAAAATTAAACTACCACACCTACAGAAACAAATATAAATATTAAAGCACTTTTCAAGCATGTTCATGGTATGTTTTCAAACGTTTCCAACAACAAAAACAGTTTCGATTCTCTGTTATATATTATTTATTATTGTTATTAATAATGTCTACAAAAGGGACAAGGTAAACTAAATAAAATTTTTTTAATAATCTATAAAAAAAATTGCCACATTTTCAGGCATTTGGCAAATAGAAATAGTTTTTCTAATTCTAATTAATCTAAATCAAATATAATTTGGTCTAATTTAACTTCAGGCAGTGAGAAAACAATGTGAATGTGTGTTTTTATTATCTTTCAATATCTGGTTTCAACTTAAATTAAATAATGTTTTCTTCAATCAAGTGATAGATTGCTCTTTCAATGACTGTATACGGAAATTCAAACCTTGGAAACACAAGCATTTCAAGGATTTCAAGCACCAGTACAAACCCTGTTGATAGAACCCACCTGACAACACGAAGTAGAAGAAAAAGGAGTTAAAAGAAACATTTTACGAGAGAGAGTCAAGAATAAATGGGAAACAAAATCATCTTCAATTCTTCATATTTAACTGCTGCCAGAGCTGCAGAATCAAGAAATAATTTAAATAGAACCTACCTAACAACATGAAGTAAGATAAGAACAAATCAAAAAACATCACATCATCTCCTGAT